TGCTGAGTAAGGTCAAGGGACCAAGCTATCCCTGGAGCAGGCCGTAGGAACTAAAACAGAGATGTAGGGAGTATTAAGTGTTGGAAAGTATTTGGAAATCTAATTGGAGACGCTAGCATCCCTTTGACTTTATATGTGCATCATGCACACTTAATATCTTCCAAGGGCTTCCTTTGTGCCAGGCACTGTGTGCGCTACATGTTTGTCATCCACTCCCACAGGTAATTTTTTTAGCTCCCCTATGAAATCAGTAGCTACCATTAGTATCCCCATTTTACAGAAGAGGACATTAAGGCCCAAGGAAGACCTATAGCCTGCCCAAGGTCATGAAGCACTCTGTGGGCAGCGTTTAAATAGACCTTCTCCTCCCCTTGTGTTTACCGACTCCTGCCTCAGCCAGTCGTGGAAGGGAATTGAGATGGGAAACCTGTGTGTGTGTCATCTACAAACGGTGTGGAAAGAGTTGACGTAGTACCCGCATTTCCAGGCCACTGGATGTCTCCTCTTGTAGGTACACTACTCCCATCAAATCACATCTCACCCAGACATGCTTGCTTTTAGAAGGAATTATTGCAGAAATTCATGTGGGTTAGGGGAAATAGGAGTAGGAGGGAAGGATTGCATGCATCATAGTATCTAGAATTTCTAGTATCAGATGGTTATATTAATATTTCATTGGCAGAGAAACTGAATAAAATGGGACCACAGATATGACAGCTGAGTCCAGTAGACTAAAAACAACCATTTCTGGAGGATCACATAGTAGACTTTGCTAAGTAGATGCAATCTGTGAGTGGCTGGGGGAATGTGAGTATCTCCCTGAAGGGTCATAGGCTTCCTCCAGCCCCACGAGAAGGCCTCTGCCCTCTGAGGAATATATTGGAAGCAATGATGCTGAAAAACAAGGTATGGTGTATAGTGCCAAGTAACAGTTGATGTTGTTTACTTGTAAGTAGATACCTATGTTAACCCCAGACTTCCCTTTGCTAGATTCATTAAGTAAGTCACTCAAAAATAAGTGAATGAGCTGGGGTTTGAGCTCGGGTACCTGGGATTTTGACCTTGGGAACCTGGAGGGTGGAGCAGATTTGAAGAATAAGAAAAAGTTGGGAAAGATCTAAAGAACTTTGTAAGCAAAAATGACAGAATGGTGCTTTCAAGGTTATCTGGGCACCCTTGTAGCCAAGCCAGGGTGCAGGATGGGTGGGAGGTTGGAGACAGGCTGAGGCCAGACCCTGTATGGATTTATGTACCACTGGCCTTTGTTCTGGAGGAATATGAGTCACTGAGGGCAATAAGCAGAGGAGAAACACTGTCACATTTGGACTGTGAAGAGTGTTCTCATATCAGTGACCCCATAAGTTGAAGTGGAGAAGGGAGTGGGCAGGACGTGAGGCAGGGAGACTAATATGGCAGAATGGGTTCTCCATGCAACTTTAGCCCTAGAATGAGCAGCCTCCCTAATGCCTGCATGGGCTGTTCACATAAAGTGCTCTTTGGCAAGAGACACAGAGGAAGAGAGGTCCATAGACAAAGCAAAATAATTGGCACCAAAGGCCCAGACATCATCACCCGCAGACCACTGCCTGGCAGATAGGGACAGTGTTAATGGCCCCTACATTGCATCTCACCTAGCTGTTCTCCATCTTCACCATCTTAAAACAAGCTGAAGAAGAGAGTTGGTGTCTCATTACTCCTTTTCTTCTACACTGACCCATCAGAAGAGGGGAACTTACCTTTCACTGCCTCGGGGATCTCTAAGGCCCAGACAGGAGAGAGAGCATTTAGCCACTGTTGGCTCAAAGGCTCTGTCTTTCTGAGAGTCAAGTTTAAGAAATCCCAACAGCTCTCTGGCCAGGTTCTGTTCACTTCTACAAAGTTACCTTTTAAGCCAGAGTGCACGCAGCATCTGAATCCTGGACATTGGTCTTGCCTTGGCTTCTGCTTTTACCTAGGTCAAAACCCATTTGCAAGCTGAAATCTACTTCACTTCTGTTATTCCATTTTCTAAGTTTAGATAATCACAAGCAATTTCAGGAAACATCTTCAGCATCCAGTTGGGGACCACTGTGATAGTTCAACTAAGACCGTGCTCGGCAAACTGCAGCTCGCGAGCCACGTGCGGCTCTTTGGCCCCTTGAGTGTGGCTCTTCCTAAGCCTTAGGAGTACTCTAATTAAGTTAATAACAATGTACCTACCTATATAGTTTAAGTTTAAAAAAATTGGCTCTCAAAAGAAATTTCAATCGTTGTACTGTTGATATTTGGCTCCATTGACTAATGAGTTTGCCGACCACTGAGCTAAGAAATGATGGCAGCCTGAATCAGGGCGGTGGCAATGCCGCTGGGAAAGGGAGAACAGACCATGGAACATTTAAGCAGTAACCCTACAATCATGCTTATATTTACTGAGCACTCTATGTGCCAGGCTCTGTATAGGGTGGATATTATCTCGTTCAAGCTTTGCAACAACCCAGTAAGGTAGGAACTATCATTCTTTCTATTTAACACATGAGGAAACAGGCCTAGTGTCATTAAGAAATTTGCCCAAATAAGTGGTAGAGCTGAGATTTGAGCCCAGGCACTATGACTTCGAAGCTTGATTTTTAATCTTCCTGTTTTACTATCTCAGATCAGGAGAATTAGGCAATTTATTGAATGTGAGGGTGGGACCAAGGGGAATGAAAAGAGCAGGAGTGTTCCAGATTAGGGAAGTAGGTAGATAGGTGAAAGATGAGGACACAGGAGAAGGAATGGGTGTGAACAGAAGGATGATGATTTGCTTGTGAACATGTTGGTAGGGATACCCAAGTAAGATGTCTGTGAAATGGTTGGGTGTTTAAGAACTTGGAGCTTCAGAGAAAGTGATGGAGGCTAAAGAAGATTTTGAGCAATCTGTATCTAGGCAGCAGAGGAGCATGTGGGCAGCAGCAGGTGGGTGGGGGTGCCGTACTGAGATCTGGAGAAGAGGATGGGCAGAGAAGACAACCAGGGATAGCATCTTAGGGACCTACAGCATTTAAGGGACCAGTGGAAGATGAACTCTTGAATGCGAGAAAGAACAGTTCAAGGGATTGTAGGAAAATGTGGAGAGAGTCAGTCACAGAAACCAAGGGAGAATGAAGTGTGGTGAAGGAGGGATGGTGGCAGGACCAGTGCAACAGAGAAATCATAGCAGGTAAGAACTGAAGGTTCCCATAGTATTTGGCAATTAGGTCAATGTAAAACCAGCTGGTGGGAATGCAAAACATTATATCCACTTTGAAAGACAATACAGGTTTCTCCCACTGTCTGAAAGTAGAGCCTTTCTGTGAATCCGTTCGCAATCCAAAATGGCACAAAGCGAAAAAGCAATCAACTTAGAACACAGCTCGTTAATGAACGGACAAAATAAACTGCGATAAAGCACAGATTAAGTAAGCATAGACACAGCTCAAAGCTATGGCGGCTTGATGCTGAGATGCTGAGTGTATTTCCTGGGAAAGGAGCTTGGTGGTGTCACCTTTGCTGCCCAGGGTGTGTGCTACCTCTATAATGTCTTGCTGGAAACGGACGCTGAATGCTATTTTCGCTTCTCACCCCCCCTTTTTTTTGTAAAAGGTGAAAAATCCTCTTTGAATTTTTTGTAGTTAGTGAAAACAGGTACTGATGTAGGCCTTCTATAAAACATATTGGGGTAAATAACTTTTGAAAAGTGGGGGACACTTATATCACAGTTTCTTACAAAGCTGAACAGTATCCTACCATATGATTTAGCAATTGTATTCCTTGGTGTTCGCCCAAATGAGATGAAAACTTATGTTCACACAAAAACCTGTACATAGATGTTTACTAGTATAGCGGTTTTATTCTAAATTGCCAAAACTTAAAATCTACCAACATGTCCTTCAGTAGGTAAGTAGATAAACTGTGATACATCCATACAATGGAATTTTTTCAGTAGTAAAAGGAAATGAGCTGCCCTGGCCGGGTTGCTCAGTTGGTGGGAGCATCATCCTTGTACACCAAAAGGTTATGGGTTCAATTTCCGATTGGGTACATAAGAGAGGCAACCAATCCGTGTTTCTCTCTCATCTCTCTCTCTCTCTCTCTCTCTCTCGCTCTCTCTCTCTCTCTCTCTCTCTCGCTCTCTCTCTCTCTCTCTCTCTCTCTTCCAAGCTAAAAAGAAATAAAAACATATTCTCAGGTGAGGATTTTAAAAAAAAGAGTTGCCTCTGTTCCTCTGACATTCCCGTCTTTTGCAGATAGATGCCAGGCTCAGGGAGCAATCAGTGTTGTCCTCACTGACAGTCCTGTGCTCCCTACCTGTGGGAAGGGAATGTCCCAGGAGCTTTGAGAAGACGAACCACTCCTCTGTACTTCTGTCGCCCTCAGTTTACATTTCCCTTCTGCCATCTGGCCTTTGGGGCCCTGATCGAGGCTTATCAGGGCCAGATGAAGAGTTTCTTCAGAGTAGAAAGTGAGTCGCATTCACCTCTGTTCCAACCCCTTGTCCTCCAGTGGTGATCCAAGTGTCCTAGTAGTGACCACTCTTGGATAAACTAGCTGATCATTCTACTGGCACTGTCTCCTGGTGGAATTCCATCTCTCTGCGGCACCCTGGCCAGAGTCCCTGCCTCGTGTCCTGCCCTGGAAACAAGCCAAATAGTGGCCAATGCAGAATCCCAGCCCATCACCCTCAGGAGCTACTGCCCTCAGCGGAATGGGGGCAAGGCTTTGGGCAGAGAGGGGGCTCAGAAGGTTTGTGTTGACAGTTATTGTCCAGCTCCAGGACCAACCATTCTGGCTTTAGAAATGAGGACAAGGGAGATAATAAAATGGAAGCCCTCTTCTTTCTCTGATGGCTGCAGTTAGAAAGTTGTTTTCTGTTGTTTCAACAAGTGGGCTGGAGGACACACCTGTGATGTTGACGGTCATGACCGGACTTGAAACAGTCTCGCTCCCTTTTTCTCCCTTCCCCCTTCTCTTCAGAGACTCTGTTCATAGGAGGATTTGTGAGACAAACTGTGGGTTTACAAACGTCAGGAACGGCAGCTCAGCCGTCCCCGTGTCTGCGCTGCTGCAGTCCCTGTGCGGGACTCTGCGCGAGGAGGTGGAGCGTCTGGGTCGCTGCTCTTCCCACAACGTGAGCCTTTTCCTGTTACCATAAAGGCAGTTTGTTGCAGATTTTGAACCTGCTGCCTCCTCCCTTCCTTTACAACACGCATATTCATCTTTCCTCCTGGCATTACTGCTGAAAGGATGCAAACGTCCTTGTCTGAGCATCATTCGCAAGCCTCCTGCCCATCTGTGAATTATTCCCCGACTCTTCCATCAGGGCAGGGTTACAGGTCCTCTGCCTGCAGGAGGGAGCTCTCCAACAAAATCTAAAGACCCAAAATCTTTCAGACGCTGTGACGAGCAGACTAGGAAGCCACAAAACACTGTGAGCTGAACGGATGTCTTAATAAGCTTTTAGATGTGCCTTGGCCAGTGTTGGCAGAGGAAGCTCAAGGGGAAGGCAGCAAGCATTGTGAGGTGAATCACTGCAGACCCACTGGGCGTGACAGCCCTAGGAAGCTAATGATCTCAACGGGAAAGAAGTGACTGCAGTTATCCAGCCACAGAACACGCAGTAGAACGGGAGGACAGACCCCCGGATGTGAGTACAATCTCTCTTTCATGCAGGGTTTGGAGCAGTAAGAGCAAAGTGAGTTCTTGTAACTGATGGCGTTCCCTAAGGACCGGTGCCCGGGTGCCTGTGGATCGTCTCTGGGGAGGTTGTACATAATGCTTGCCTGGGACTTTTGTTTGCAGGTTTCTTCTCATATATTTTGCTTGAATCCATTGTCTTTGGAATATTGGAAACAGGAGACTTTGTTGTAAATCCTCAAGAAAACAGAAAAGCAAACCTCCGAGACCTTTTGCTATAAAAAGAAAACAAATCACATCACAGACCAGACAGCTGTGGGGCCCTCTGGCATTTGTGATGGGAGACAAAAGAATCGGCAAATTGGAGAGCAGTGAAAACGGGGCAGTGGGCTGAGAGGAAGGAGGGAAATCTTTATTGGAAGCGAAATCCCTTTCTGGACTCAGGAAACTCATTGCATATTTATGATCATGCATCTATTTGATTTCTGCTTAAGGAACTGGCAGCATGTTGCCATTAAGTCTCTCTCCAGAACACTGTGAAAATGAGCATCGTGACAGAGGCATGTGATTGACAGAGTTGGGCAGAAAAAATTCCTCACTGTCAGCAGGGGGAAGTGTCTTGAATGATAGCTGATTCACTTGGAAGAGGAGGCTCAGATTTAAGGAGGGAACGGGGCTGCTACAGCCTGAGTACCCAACAGGTTGGCGGGGAAGTTTAGTTGATTATAGACTGGTTACCACTCCACGCTTCCCCTCCCCTCCCCACTTGTTGGGGGGGTCTTTCGTTCCCCCTTATTCCCTGTCCCACAGCCTGCCTCTGCCTGGCCTGATTCGTCACTTCAAAGTATCCCATGAGAAGCTGAGTAGCTCCTCACTTCTAAAGGATAGGGATCGTTGTTCTGTAGGGCAGTGATCATGAGAGAAGTGGGGAGAAAGCTGGGCTGGGCTTGCACCCCCCTCCACAGCTAGTGTTAGAGGAGGAAACAGAAAGGGAGTAGAAAAGAAGTCTCAGCCACTTTCATTTCTCCCCACCCACCCTGCAAATACAAGTGCAAGTGAATGCTGGAGGCCCTAGGAATACAGCTATTACTGGATTTGAGAATGAACTTGAGATAACCAAATACATGGGGATGGTGCTAGCAACAGGCCAGGAACTGGAATCCTGGGATTCTGTTCCAGATTTTGCAGGCAGTTTTCTGTATCCAAAATAGTGACCTATCCTGGAGGCTGCCCTGGGCCTCAGGTGAGTCTAACTGGAGGAGAGGGTTGGGGCGGGGTGGGGGAGGGGGGTGAAGAGTGGGAACATTTCATTATTCAGTAGCTGTCACTGAAAAGCAAAAATACCACATTTCTGCTTGGCCAAGATTTTCTCACAAATATCGTGTTTTTCTGTCTCAAAAAAAAAAATTATCATGTGCGCTGGATTTGCACAGGGTTGTTTACCAAAGGTAATTATGTAAGCAAGGCTGACTCGGTAGCTTGCAACCATGGCAAAAACTGTAACTGTGCTTCCATCTGAGTGTCTGAGGCTGAATTTATTGCATGGGACAGGAGGGTGGGAGGGAGTGGCTGGCGGTGTTGACCCCTTGCATCTGTTGCCAGGGAGACCAGACAGCATTTCTAGTCTGTAGCTCGTGACCTTAGGTGATGGCATGCACTGAGGTTGCAGCAAGCTCTCTATCCCCAGGAGCCAAGCTGTGGAGTGGAATGAGTAAAAATTTTAGTCATGATAATATTTGTATCAACCAGGATATTGTACTTGAGACATTTGCAGGCCCATTGCAAGAAAGGTTTGGGAATGGAGAGTTGGGAGAGGAGAGGTGGCAGTTTGGGTCCAGTGCACAGAAATAACAGTTGAGTAGATGGAGAAGAATGTGGTTGTGGTAGGGAGATCATTCAAGAAGCCATACCTAATATTCTATATTTTCCTGCCCTTTGGGCCTGGAGTGCTTTTCCAGTGTTGGGGCAGGCAGAGCAGAAGCTCAGTATAATTGGTTTGAAGGTACCACAGATTCCCTGAACAAAGAGAGGCGATGTGTCCTATGTTTACAAATACAAACCACTTCCAAACAGTGATGCAGTCTGGCAAACACACGAATCCTGGGAATTTCCAAAAGCATTTCCAGCTCATTTCTCTCTCTTTTGAGTCTCAGCTTTATTCTTTCACTGACTCATTCATTCAACAAAGGCTTCTGACAGGTTCCAGGATCTCTGGCTCTGGCTAAGAGAGGCGTCTCTGCCTTGGCACCTACCCTTGTCCCAGCATCTTGTGCCTGGTGACCAGAGCAGGATTTGTGAAGGTTCTTTCTCTCTGTTTCCTTTCGAGTCTTTACCTGCATTTTGGGTATTTTGGATGACGAGGTGAAATTTGGTAGTTCACAAGTTGCGGGGAGAGAAGAATCCTTTCTGAAGTTAAAATATTCACATTTGGCCAATACAGTCACATAATAAAATACCATCCTTAAGTCCTGCGGTTGTGTCTGTGTTATATCTGAGCCTTTGACCCCAGCCTCCCAGAGTGGTTGGGGAGATGGCCTGCCCAGATGTCACGGTGAGTGGGAGGTACAGCGTGGTACTGTCCAGAACTTTCCCAGTCACATCTTGGCCTATTCCTTAATCTTAGAGATTGAAAGGAGCGGTGGATTTGCCTGGAAGCAACTGTAAAAGATGTCTGTGGGGCCTGGGATGAAGAATGGGTGGTGTCCCTCTGCTATAGAATTTTCTTTCCTTTTGCATATATTGGTATTTTTAATAAGTATGTTTTAAAACGGAAAGAAGCCCTCACTTCCTTGCCGTCCTTGCTGTGGATCAGGTCCTTAAGCATTTCTTCTTGTGCCGGAAGAACCCTTCGCCTTTGAAGTCATTACCACTGCCTTTGGTTTAGTGTCGTGGTGTGTGGTGGCCCAGGGCTACAGGGAGGAGTTCATCTTTAACCTTCTATTCACTTGTCTATGTGGTGGAAGGAAGAGCTTAGGTTTACTACTAGTTAATGCCTCCAGACCTCCGCTCTGAGTGACCTAGAGATGGTTTTCGTAGGCCATTCATTTCCCCCTGGTTAAGCTGGGAAGCCGCTCTTGGCACAGTGGGCAGTGCCCTGTCAGTGTGTCTGGCATCCCTGTTGTTTCTGAGGCAGGTTGTTCCAGCAGCAATTGGACCCGGGAGACGGCCCGGGCCTGTGCCCAGCTTTCCATCTGTTCCAGAACGCAGGAAACTGCATGATTTGCAGTGAGAAAAGGATGAAGAGAATGACAGTATATGCTGGGGGGGAAATCCCAGGGAGAGAACCTACTCCTCCGGGTCTTTGGGGTGTGCTCCATGGGAACCTAACCTGCCAGGGGAGTTGGCATGTTAACTGTGGCCCAGAAAGCCCTTATGGTCCTCCATAGCACAGTTACCTGCCCAAGGTGGGCCTGGAAACCAGGTGATGTGTAGGGGATTCTATCAGGCCTCTGCCGGCCCTCACAGAAACGCAAAGCAGACCTCAAAGTTCTGGCCATAGTCCTCTGATGAATCCAGAGTCCCCTGCAAGGGTAGAAAGGAGGGAAGGTGGCACTTCTAAGGTCAGGTGCTTTGCTATGCCGTGTGTTCTTCTTGCTGTCCTCTCTCCCCCAGCTCCCCTCCCCTGCCATGAGCAATCAGCACATGCCCGTCCTGTGTGCTGAGTGGCACTGATGGCAGCTTTGTCTTGTAACCCGTAGGTCCTGAAGATGGCATAGTAATAGAGCCACCTTCCAATGATCGGGAGCATCTGTCCCCGCGGGTGCCGGCCCGGGCCAGTGACGTCGTGTGGAGCTGAAGGGACGTGTCTACCTCTATCTGGAAACCTCTTTCTCTGCTAATTCATGAGCCAGCAGGATGCTGTCGCCGCGCTTTCAGAACGCCTTCTCATAGCCGCATACAAAGGCCACGCGGAGAATGTGGTTCAGCTCATCAACAAGGGCGCCAAGGTAGCAGTTACCAAGGTAACGAGGGGAGGAAAATGCTTTAGCCATCCTGGGGGAAAGCCTCCCTCTTAACCACTGTCCACAGAGCTGTCCTGTTGGGCTCGCAGCTTTCAAAGAATTGGCTCCGTCCCCTCCCCCAGTGATGGAGGTTTGGACAGAAGGAAGGGGGATTAAAAATGCTTTCATTGTGATCTTTCAAATGGAGTAACTTGTAATTAGCATTTGACAGTCTTTAAAGTCACAGCATGGCTTTTTCTCACCTACTTACTTCTTCAGCCACAAGGACTGGAGAGCTCTCTGGAGAAGTCGGGACACAAAAGCTTATAGGGTAGAGTATTTGTTTGATAATCACATTAGATAGGCCTCCTGGGGAGGCGGACTCTGCTATGCAGAACCTCATCCCCATCTGTACCAAGACAGACTCGGACCGGATGACCACAGCAGCCTCCTTGGGCTTTAATTTCATGGGAGTCCGTGAGAATGTGTGGTAAGTGTTGGAGGACATTGCTCACCCCTCACCAACAGATACTCCCCGGGTGGTCAAGAGAACATAATGGGCCCAAGGGCAGTTTTGTTGCAAAGCTGAGCAGAGGCAGGTTCTGCACAGTTCAATGACAGTGTAAGTACATAGACAAAATAAGCACTTCACCGTCCTCTAGGAGAGGTTCTCTTTTCATCTCCACTTTAGAGATGAGGAAACTGAGGCACCGAGGGATTTAAGTAACTTGCCCTGGGGCCCTCAGCTGCTGAGTGGCAGAACTGCAACTTGTACCCACGGAGTCTGGCTCCAGGGCCCACCCTCCAGGCCACCGCGGGGGAGCTGTGGAGAGAGGCAAAGTTTAATTTTCAAGTAGTAGCATCTGCTAACTTCGGGCCTCCTGTGGCAAAGATTGGCCAGCTCACATTTTCAGTGATTCATATCTAGTCTCTGTATTTCATGCTTCCAATGTGTGCTTTTAGCAGTAATTCCAAGCAGTTAACTTAATGCTGGCACAATCTGCATCAGGTCTCACGGGGAAGGGCTCAGTCCCACCCCTTCACATGCCAGTGGCAAGCCCAGGTTGTCACCTTTGCTTCTGACCAACCGGCTATCAATCGGAGGTTCCCATGACCCACTCCTTAGATTAGATTAATTTGCTAGAGCAGCTCTCAGAACTCATTTTACTTACCAGATTGCCAGTTTATTTTAAAGGGATTTAACTCGGGAACAGCCAGATGGAAGAGATACACAGGGCAAGGTATAGGAAAGGGCACAGAGCTTCCATGATCTCTGAGTATGCCACCCTCCAGCACCTCCCTGTGTTCACCACCCCAGACGTTCTCTGACCTTTGGGTTTTTACGGAGGCTTCCTTCCATAGACATGATTGCCTAAACCAATGGTTCTCAACCTTCTGGCCCTTTAAATACAGTTCCTCATGTAGTGACCCAACCATAAAATTATTTTCGTTGCTACTTCATAACTGTAATGTTGCTACTGTTATGAATCGTAATGTAAATATCTGATATGCAGGATGGTCTTAGGCGACCCCTGTAAAGGGGTCATTTGACCACCAAAGGGGTCGCGACCCACAGGTTGAGAACCACTGGCTAAATGATTGGCCATTGGTGAATGGGTCAACCTCCAGCCTCTCTCCCCTCTCTGGAAATGAAAGTCCAAATCCTCTAATTATGGTTGGGTTCCCTGGCAATCAGCCCTCATCCTTCGGGGCTTTCCAAAAGTTACCTCATTCTCATAAATGCAGGTGTGGTTGAAAGGGGTTTGTTGTGAATAACACACTCCTTTCACCTTTTTTTTTTTGGCTTTGGAGCTGTTTCAAGAACTGATGACAACAGACCAGCTATTATAATAAAAGATGCTCCCATTGCTCTTATCACTTAGGAGATTCCAAGTGTTTGGGGAGCCAGGAATGGAGACTAAGAGCAAATATGTGTTTCTGTAAATCACAATATCACGATGCTGGCTCTAGAGAGCGCGCGCGCGCGCGCGAGAGAGAGAGAGAGAGAGAGAGAGAGAGAGAGAGAGAGTGAGTCGTGGCCTCTCCAAGGTCCCCTATTGGCCTGACATCACTTTACACAAATGTGGCGACTAGGTTGCTAGCTGTGAGGACTTGAGGGTGAAGGGTGTCATTTACCCATGGTGCTTCAGGGCCCAACCAGTCACAAATGGGAGAAAGGGCATGGACTCCCTAATGGAGGGCTCATGCCCACACATTTTAACTCTGCTGTGTTTGCTAATTGTACAAGTTGCTTAACTTCTTTGAGCCTCAGGTTCCTTATCTGTAAAAAAGGGATAGCAATACGAACCTTTCAGGGTTGTTATAATAATCACATTAAAGCACATAGTTCATAGCTGCAAGTTTCCTTTTTAAAATAGACTTCATCATTTGCTTTTTAAAAAAAGTTTTAAAAAACAGTTTTATTGGGGTATAATTTAACATGCAAAAAAATTCACCCATTTTAAGTGTACAATTTAGTGGCTTCTAATGTCTTTACAGAGTTGCACAATCATCACCATGTTCTAATTTTAGAACATTCTATCACCCCAGGAAGAAATTTCGTATTATTTAGCTGTCATTTCCCATTCCTACTCCCAGTTCCTGGCAACCATTAGTCTACTTTCTGTCTGTATAAATTGTCCTTTACTGGACATTTCATATAAATGGAATCATACATTGTGTGGTCTTCTGTGGCTGGCTCTTTTCAATTGACCTAATGTTTTCTAGGTTCATTGTATTGTAGCATCAGCATTTTATTCTCTTTTACTACAGAACAATATCCCACTTCATGGATATGGCACATTTTGCTTATCCCATCATTGGTTAATGGATATTTTGGGTTGTTTCCAGTGTGAAACTATTATGGACAATACTGCTGTGAACATTTCTGTACAGTTTTTGTGTAGATATGTTTTCATTTCTCAGGATAAATACCTAGGAGTGGAATTGTTGGGTCCCGCAGTAAATCTATGTTCAACATTTTAAGGAACGGCCAAGCTGTATTCCAGAATGGTTACCCAATTTCACATTCCCATTAGCAATGTATGAGGGTGCCAGTTTCTCTATATCTTCACCATTGCTTGTTATTGACTGTCTTTTTTTAAACATAATTTGCTTTTTAATAGTTTTGTTTTTAATCAAAGTAATGCTTGCACTTAGGAGCTTTAAAAGTGTAAATTCAACCCGGCAGGCATGGCTCAGTGGTTGAATGTCAACCTATGAACCAGGAGGTCATGGTTCAATCCCGTCAGGGCATATGCCTGGGGTTTCAAGCTCAATTTCAGTAGAGGGTGTACAGGAGGCAGCCAATCAATGATTCTTTCTCATCGTTGATATTTCTATCTCTCCCTTCCTCTCTGAAATCAATAAAAAAATATATTTTTTAAACAGTAAGTTCAAATACTGCTAGAGGAGCCTGGGGTCCCACCCAGAGCAGGGAGACTTGTCATCTCAGTTCAGGCCAAAGCCCACAGGAGGAGCGTGACTTGATAAAAAAGCAACTCTGGAGCCCACGTCTGTGAGGAAACCAACTCAAGGTCCACCTGTCCCCACTGATCTGTGGATTTCTGTATTTGAAAAGATGTGGTACCAAATTCAAAGAAGGAAACAGGAAATAATAAAAACTAGTACAAAAATGAGTGAAATAGGAAGTAGAAAAAAGATACAGAAAAATCAATGAAACCGAAAGTGGGGTCTATGGAAAAAGTGACAAAATAGACAAGTCTTGAGCTAGATTGATCTAGAGATCAAGGGCCTACTGACAGCTGTCTGGGGATCTCACTTTACTTGTATCCTAGCATTTCCCCTTGCCACTTTTATATATGTTGGTTTTCTGTTTTCTGGATTCCACTGTCTTTCTCTTTCTTGATTTACTCTCTTATTTTGATGTAGTACACCTCTAGTACAGTGCTGTCCTATATCTGTACTGTCTGATACGGTAGCAACTCACGGCTATTGAATACTTGAAATGTGGCTAGTGTAACTGAGGAATTGAATTTTAAATTTAACTTTAATTAAAATTTAAATGCCACATGTGAGTGTTGGCTACCATATTGTATAGCACAGCTCCCATATCTTCCTGAAAAATGATTGTGTGGGAGAAATCAATTAGTACTAGACTCAATCTATTGCCCCTTTCTCTCCCTCATTCTCTGAATCCAGTTGTGTCATGATTTTGAACAGATCCATAATTAGTGTGATTATGTAAATGCTATTCATTGGTGAGCCAATAAGTATACTATAATTACATTTCCATTCTTTTATAACTTGCTGTTTTTCCTAGAGTTGATCATTTTTGCTGGAACCCATGTCACCCATCACTTGGGTAGCTCACATTCCCTGAGCTTCCTAAGAAAAGAAACATAGGAGAGAAATAGTTTGAGACTCTGTATGTCTGGGAAAAAGTCTTTATTCTACCCGCTCACTTAATTGACAATTTGGTGTGAAACCTAAGCTGAGAAAGAACTGTTTTGCTTCAGAACTTTGAAGGCAATGTTTTATTGTCTTTGAGCTGATAGGGTTGCTGTTGGAAAACTCTGCCCATTTAATTAAGGCCTGCCCATTCAGAACCCAGCTCAGGAACCACCACCACCAGGAAGTCCACCCAGAGAACAGTACCCTACATGGAACTCACTGTCCTCTCAATTGGTGAAACACTTGCTGTTTATTTGCTCTGTGTCTCTCATATTTGAGTGCTCTGAGGGTGCTCAGAACTCCCAGGCAGACCACCACTCTGACCTGGGTCGGAGTTTCTCTCTTATATTTCTCAGTGTTTGACACAGAAGAAAAGCACTGGAATATGGAATCCAAAGACCTAGGTCAAGTGCCTGCTCCGCTGCTTATTAACTACTTGTTGACATAGACCAGGGTTTCTCAACTTCCGCACGATTGCCATTTTGGGCCAGATAATTCTTTGTTGTGGGCGATTGTCCTATGTATTGCAGGATGGTTAGCAGTACCTCTGCCCTCTACCTATTAGATGCCTGCAATACTCCCTCCTCCCTAGTCATGACAACCAAAAA